TTCGATTTTCCAAAAAAAAAAAAAAAAAAAAAAAAAAAAAAAGTCAGACCTGTAGATCATGGTGGTGGATGTCCAGAATCACAGAATGTCCAAGCTGGAATGAATGTCTAAGAGGACCTTGTTCAAATCCCCCCTTTGTGAAAATTGCCGGAGACTAAAGTCCAGAGGGGTGAGGGACGTAGATCACGCAGCGAATTTTGGACTGTTTCTGGAGCAGTCTTTGTGCGTGGCTCTGTCACACCCGGGAGTGGCTCCCGCCCCCAGGCACCGGGTCCCTTCGCATGATCCCCCAGCAGACAGGAGGGCAGGGAGACTCAGGGGCAAGAGGCCTGCAGGGAGGAGATCTGAGTGGCCCTGTGGGCAGGTGGCTCACTTCTCCCCTTGCCCAGCCCTCTTCCGGTGCTGGGACCGTCTCTGGCCCCAGCCTGGCTCGGGGCCCTAGTGCCAGGACCAGACGAGCCAGGCTCGTGTGGCCACACAGATGAGACACCAGCTGGGCGTCGAGAAGAGTAGGGCCTGACCCAGAGCCTGGTCTTTCTCTGGATCTGTTTGCTCTCTGCTTCTGGCCGCTCCTTCCTCGTCACATGGGGCCACCGGTGGCTGCCTTGTGACCTCATGGAGTACTTTAGGAGTTTGGGTGGGGTTTTTTATTTTGGTGTACAAATGAAATTGTGATTTTCTTTTCTTTTCTTTTTTTCTTTCTTTCTTTTTTTTTTTTTGCTGTGGTGGTAAAATATACATAACATAAAAGGTACGGTCTTAAACGTTTTTAAGTGTAGCATTTAAGGGCTTTAAGTACATTCACGCTGTTGTGCAACCATAACCACCATCTGTTTCCAGAGCTTTCTCATCTTCCCAAACTGAAACTCTGTCCCTATGAAACACCGAGTCCCCGTCCCCTCCCCCAGCCCCTGACACCCACCCTTCTTCCTGTCTCTGTGCATCTGATTATTGTATGCCCCGTGTATAAGCGGCGTCACGGAGTATCTGTCCCTTTGTCACTGACTTATTTCACTGAGCACGATGTCCTTTTTAAGGCTGAATCACACTCCCCTGTGTGGGTGGACCCCATTCGCTCCCCCAGTCCCCCATGGATGGACACTCGAGTTGTTTCCACAGCAGAGCGGTCACGTCCCTCTCTGCGAGTGGACCCGTGTC